CCAGTGGGGCGTGCACCCCCAAAGAGAGGCGCCCTAGTCAGATGCCAGAACCACCTCAGCTGACTCCTTCTGACGTGGAGCAGCAGCTCTCTATGCTCCAACAAGACGGGAGATGAAGAATCTCTTTTTATAGTTTTTCCTCAACCAATGTTCAGGGTTTAAATCCTCCTAAGTTCTCCCACTGAAGAAAACCTGAATTCAGTCCTGAATTTCACCTGAAACTCTCAGACTGAAGAAGTCTCTTGGAGGAGAGACGAAACGTTTCATTAGAGAAGAACCCGTCCAGAAGACCTATGCAATTTTTTTTGATTTTTTACCTGGATTACTGAGATCAGGACATCGAAACAAGTTGTTGACTTTCCATGTAATTATAGTAAAGCAGAGTTAAAGAGTATCATTAAAGAGAAGATCAAAGTAAAGTGGCAAGAATTTTGGGACAGGCATAATGAAGGACAGTTTTATTATAGTTTGAAAAGAAATGTGAGTGGGACAATAGTTTGGAGTTGTAAAAATAGAAAGGAAGAAGACATTTTATTTCGTATGAGACTTGGACACACAAGATTAAATAGCACATTGCATATTATTGGAACACATGAAAGTGGAAACTGTGATTATTGTGCACAGTCAGAGACAGTGGAACATGTGATCATGTATTGTAATAAATATAAATATCAGAGGAAAATATTAAAGAACAAGATTTTACAACAAAAACTCCCGTTTTCAATTAGGGAAATAATGAATGGAAGTTCTGTAGAAATTGTTTTCAAGGCTTTAGTTAATTTCTTAGAAACCACAAGTTTATTTGTTAGGATTTAGTGTTTTTTTTTTTTTGTTTTCTGAGCCTTCTGGCTCACACTCCATTCCAGAAGGTGGCGGTAATGCACCGAAACGTTTAACAACCGCCATTAAACAACAGAAGAAGAAGAAGAAGGAAGCGTGTTTGGTAAGACGTCTTCTGACATCTAAAGAGACAGAAACAGGTTTAAAAATAAAATGTCGGCGTTTCTGAGGACCATGGTCAGCCGCGTTGYTCCAGTCCTGCGGGGAAGCAGCGTCACGCAGACGGCAACCATTTACAGCAAACCGGCGAAGGAGAAGATCGGCGCGGTTGTGAGTATCGTCCCCGAAGCTAACGCGATGCTAACAGTTAGCATCTGTCCTTGTCAGTCGAGGTCAAAAAAAGGTTCAGCTAGTGGGAATTCAAACAAARTAATGTTTCTTATTTAATCAATACTGTGGTTATTATTTCTCTTTGTAAGTGTATAAATATTTATTGTTAGTATTCATTGTAGTTTTATCGATTATACKTCCGTCTTATTGACATCAGGCCTCATGTTACACATTGTTTTGCCCTTCATTTTTAATATGAATTAATTTAAATCTTTGATTAAACTGCTTATAAGATGACATCKCTAAGATCCACAGTTACTAAATCACGTGTATGTATAACGCTAAATGTGCTGCCCTCACACCAGTTACTAAATGCAGTTAATTTATACTTTAAATTGTGTAAAAAAACACATTACATTTGAATGACTTAGATTTATTTATAAGGGTTAAAACGACAAGATAACCAAGTAGAGCATTTTAAAACAACAAACAAGCTTAGAGGAAATCTTTATATTTGGCTTTCTGAAAGCTTTAATCACAGTTATTTAGCCTTAAAATAAAAAAGTAAATTAAAAGTAAAACACAAAACCCTGCTGCTCATACTCATGCTTAAGCCTATAT